CAGGTTCTGGCACCAAAAACTGGGAAACGGCCTTTTGTCTGAGGCCCCTCACCCAGAGCTCATCCCACAACTCCAACTGCAGCTGCTCCCTGAGCCACCTGCACCCACGGGATTCCTCAGCCCTGGGCACCACGAGGCCCCCACAGTGTCCCAGGGTCCCTTTGGTTCCCTGAGCCCCCACAGTGTCCCAGGGTCCCTTTGGTTCCCTGAACACCCACAGTGTCCCAGGGTCCCTTTGGTTCCCTGAGCCCCCACAGTGTCACAGGGTCCCTTTGGTTCCATGAGGGTTAGGGTTAGGGTTAGGGTTAACTCTCCAACCAGCTTTTTGGGTTAGAAAGCCCACATGACTTCATTCAGTGTGCTGGGTGCATGAAGGTAGCTCCATAAAGCATGCACACCCACCAACCTCACAGACCACTTTAGAGTCATGAAATTCATAGCCATGACATTCCTATTACATATTCATTACATTTCCTGAATACATGGGTATGTACTAATTTCTTCCATGGACTTACTTGGATATGGCTCTGGATTTTCCAATGAATCTTTTCTCCATGAGAGTATCTGAGACGTGGTTGTGTCATAATGGACTTCTCTTACCATTCTTTGCTCTGACACACAATCCTTGCTCTCAAAACTAAGGCATTTGCAAGTACCTGTTAATCACTGATATAGGGAAATAAGGAAGCAAGAGCTGGCACAAGGCTACTAGTCACAGATGTAGGGATCAAACACTCTTGTACTACAGTTAAAAGAATTTTCCAACATCTTTCCCCACTGCTGCATAGACTCTGTTTTTAAAACAGACAACTACTTTGGTAACAGTTTGTGCTGGTTTCAGCTGGGGTAGAGCTGAATGGGACATGGGGTTACCCTACACCCATTTATATGCTCAATCGAATCATACGGTTACAAGCCGTAGCCAAAATAGTTACGAATCAGACGGTGACAGGACTACAATTGACAGCTGAGCAGCAGCGTCAAAGTAGAGCCGCAATATATCAAAACAGATGAGCCTTAGACTATCTTTGGGCAGAAGAAGGAGGTGTGTGTGGGAAATTTAATACCTTGGATTGTTGTTTACAGATTGATGATAACTATGAAGCAGTAATGGAAATAGCCTCTAACATCCGCAAAATGGCCCATGTGCCAGTTCAGAGCTGGAAATCTGGGCTAGACGGAGGGTGGTAGTCTGACCTATTTGGAGGAGCATGGTGGAAACAAGTGGGGTTTTTCCTTCTGTGTGCCATTGCGGGATTGGTATTTTTACCCTGTTTAATCCCATGTTTCCTATTCAGCAATACCAAAGCCTCTGCCAAGCAGGGCAGTTCCAAGCCATCCCTGCGACGTCACGCCGTCCACGTTATCGGTTCGGCGTGGCATAGACCTTCCTCACCTCTCAATGTCCTCGTGGGTCTTTTTGCCCCAGGGCATCTCTTGGCACTCCAGTGCAGTCTGCACAGTCTCGATCGTCCCCGCTCATCGTTGTAGCTTCCGCTTTCGCACCTCTTAGGGCATCGAGCGCGTACATCCGGGATCTCAGGCATTCTTCGGTCGATCGTCTTTTGCAACACCATCTGGGAATTTGGCCGGAGAGGCCTTCTCTAGCCATCCGGCTCGATCGCCTGGTAGGCAATCCTTGCCTGCACATGCGTTGCAGACTTTTCAAGTGTTCTTCTTACCAGTTGTGGCAGTAACATCTTGTAACGAGCAATTATGTCTCATTCTGAACCGGGTCTGCCTTAGAGCCTTTTTTCTTTGACATTGTTGGTCTATAGGTTATCTTGCACAGAGAATATCAGGTTCAGGAGGGGAAAGTGTCAGACCATTTCCACCCATGTCCGTTCCATAAGTTTGTGCTGTCTGTCCTTGATGTTGTAGGCCTTTGTCATATCTTGGTGTCATTGTGGCTCTTCTCGTTCAAGGAGCATATCACGGGGTTCAGGTGCTACCACTCGGGTCCAGAACATCTGTACCGATCGGCACCGCAGCCCCCCATGTGCTTCTTTTCACGTGTAGCGAGGGCAAGTTCGTCTCGCATCTCAGAGATCATCGGTCGCTTTACCCGAGTGGCATCGTTTTGGACCGTGTCGGCAACCGTGGCCTCTCACTGTGTATTTTGGACATCAGACTTATTCTGGCATTTTTCCTTTATTACTTGTTGAGACCAGAATATTTGCAGAGAAAGAAAGTTCTCACGCATCCTTCCCTATGGTGGCAGTACTTTCTTGTGGCAATTCATTATGTTCCATCACCGTCCAGGGCCGTGTCAGCGCTCTCGACCGACGATCACTGTTCCACAGGCCACGTAGCCCGACCGTGCTTCGGGCGTGGGAATTGTCATCAGAGAGTCATCTGACGTCTTTGCATCCCGTTCGTTCATATTTGGCGCGTTGTGCGTCTCTGAGTGGGATCGGCTCGAAGCTGCCCTGCTTGGGGGTATAGAGTCACAGCTGGGTAGAGTAGCAAACAGTGTCAATGGTATAGGCGTCTGTCATGGCTCTTTGGGCCTACAAAATGTAAAGGGTGGGTCTGGGGGTAAGTCCAAGGTCACAGAAGGCACGCTTCAGAGTCCCTCCCCTTTTGTCTTACAGTCACCCAAAGGAGATTCAGATTTCTGAGGCGAAAGACGGCATCGGTTTTCTCGGAACTTACGGCGACCGGGGCGAGATCGGCCGAAGCGTCGTCATCGACGGAATCTTCCGAGAGCCGCGGGGAGTCCCTGCCTAATGAGTTATGGACTACATGTGTATAGCATTGTATATGTTTATTTCGATTTGTAGGTTGCTTCTTAGGCATGGTTATTGTGTTTTCCAAGGAGAACAGGAAAAGTCCGGCCGCCGTTTCTTTGTATTGCCGCTGTCATTTGTATCGCCTCATACTGCTCCCTATTGTGTACTTGTGTAGTTGTAGTCGTATCGGTCCGTATCCGAAGGTCACGGTGTCGCGTTCCATGTGTCAGTTATGAATTGTATCTCTTTGCGCCTTCATTTGTAGTACTTTTTATGTCGTGTCACTTGTATTGCCATGTAATGTTCTGTCTGGTATACTTCTATATTTGCAGTTGCATTGCTCTGTATGTGAAGGTTGTAGTGTTGTGTTGCTCTGTGTCAGTTAGGAGCTGTACAGCTTTGTACCTTACTTTGTTTTGCTTTTTATGTTCTGTCATTGGTATTTTCTCATAATGCTGAGAGGGGTGTGCTCAGCCATGAGGGGTGTGCTTGTTTTGTCAGACTCGGCGATTTGTTTCTTTTTGGGGTTTTTTTTGCAGGCTCCAGGGGAACCACGTTCCCAAGGAGGGCCGTGGATGTACAGTGATGGTCTCTCATGGGCCAGTAGGTAGCGGAGCGGTTGAGGTGTGAGTGAGGATGAAAAAGGTTTGTGAGTGTTTCGCAGTGGTTTTAACCTTGTGTTAGTGTTTTCCTCTTTCAGGTTGTTGTTACATAATTTAAGATTTAGAATAAAAAAAAACCCAACTAGGGGATTTTTTCTTTCTTTTTCCCCCTCTGGGTTTTTTTTTTCCCAGGTCTGCAAGGCGACGTTCGTCGCCAAGGTTTGGGCACGGGCTGTCCCTGACCCCGGGTTTTGCAAGGCAGGACGATTTTTCGATTTGTGAGGCTTCCCCAGACCCGTGTTCCGGAGGGAGCGCTGCACATTTGTCCCAATAGTTGCTGGTGGGTAATGGAGTGGTTGAAGAGTGAGTGAGAATGGGTTTATGTGTAAGCTCCAGGGGGTTTGTGAGTGAATGAGTGTAACACTAAGTGTGTGGGGGTTTTTTCTTTTGATTTGCATCCGGTGTCAAATCGAAAAGTAATTCAATCACGTTTGTAGAAAGCAGGTTTCATTTTCTCTTGTCTTGCTTTTTTTTGTGGTTTGTTGGTATTGCCGTGCATTGTTTTGTAATTGTGTTGACCAGTGGAATACAAGGTATTGCATCTGTGGGTTGTACTGTATTGTAACTTGTGTTGTAACCTGTGTGCTAACCTGTATAGTAACTTGTGCCTTGTAACCGGCCTTGTACCGTGCCTGGTAACTTGTGCAATTTCACAAGGTCACAAGCAGTCATTCCATAAAAGTGGCGGTCTGGAAAAGAAAAACTCAACACGATTCCAGTATGGGGAAACTGGAATGCTTTATTGAACATGAGAACACAATTTTAAAGGCATCTGGGGCTGGACATGTTAATGAAGGGAACAAGCTCTGTTAATTGGGGAGTTACACAAGTTTTTACTGCAATTTCCAAACAGTTAATTTTTCTTCTAGTAGGATTACATGGGGGATAGAGGGATTACAGGGGTTTAGACATGGTTTTAACAAACATCTCAAAAAGTCCTTTCTTAATTCTTCTTGGAGCCAGGTTTATATCTTCGGGTTGCACATCAACAGGTCTCTGGACAAGGGTCCAAATTTCTTCAATCACGAGATGTTTGTCAGCCTTGTTTTCCAAGGTTTGTGATTCAAATTTACCAAGCTTCCCTTTGCTGAAAGCTGGGTTTGGGCTCCCACAAATAAAGTTGCAATAAAGTTGTGGGGGTTTTTCCCCCTCTTTGGCTCCTGTCTTTATTTTGTGTTATGGAGTCTTTTCTCTATTTCTTTCTTCTCTTCTTTCCCTTTCTCCTCTTCATCTCTCTTCTTTCTTTACTCTGTTCCCTCTTAGTTATTTCTCTTAGTTATTTCTCTTAGTTATTTCTCTCTCTTGCCTTTTCTCTTACCTTTTCTCTTAGTTTCTTGTCTAACTTTTCTTTTGCTCACTTTGCTTAGTTTAAAAAAGCAGCAGGACGGGGACTGGTTTGCTCCCGGGGAGTAAATCTTTACTGCGCAGGGCGACCTCGTCTGCCTTGTGCTTCATACCCTGTGCCCGTCCTCCTTCTCACCCTTTTCCCCTTTGTCACCCTCACCCTAAACCTCGCCCTCGTCCCCGTTCCTCATCCCCACTTGGCTCCCGGCAGCCCGCCGGGGGCTTCTTGCCCTTCCTGCGGCTGGGAACTCCAAGCAGGGCCATGCCGTGGCTTCTCAGCAAGAAGCGACGGCAGTCGCCCTCCAGCAGCCCCAGTGGGCAGCCCTGGGCTGCCACCAGCTCCAGCAGCGCCTCCCAGCTCCGGGAGCAGGGGCTGGGCAGGCTGCACCGCGCGGCCGCCCGCGGTGACCTGGGCTGGCTGAGGCGCTGGCGCTGGTACGTGAAGGTAGTCGGCATCGACAGGCCAGACCAGGAGATGCGGTGAGTTCTGGGCCACGCTGATGGCACACCTTGGCTGCTCCTAAGCCAAGCTGCAGTAGTCCTCGGCAGCCCTCTCTTAGGGACAAGGTTTGAAAAGTGACATTTGCCCTGTCAGCTGGGAGAGGGAACTCTTGAGCTTTTCACTGCTCGGAGCTGCCGGCCGGGCTCCAGCGCTGTTGCAAACGCGTGTTGCCCACCTGCCCCTTGGCCGTGGTCTCTCAGCATGGCTGTTCTGCAGCTGCTCAGCCCTCACCTGTTCCCTTCTGCCCTCTGGCTCATCAGCGCAGGCCTGTAACAACAGCAGCAGCAGGAGGAGCAGAGTCGGAGCAGGGTCCCCAGGGTGCTGGGTAGAGACACAGCTTGGGCTCGTCCTTTGTCTGTCTAGGTTAAGAGTGTCTGTTTAATTTTTAGGACACCTCTGCATCTGGCTTCAGCCAATGGCCATGCAGATGTCGTCAGATATCTGCTAAGAAAGGACAGCCAGCCCAACCTCGCTGACAGCTTCAAGAGAACGGCCCTGATGAAGATGTGTGGAATGCCTTCTGAGCTTGGAGGTGGGGCTTAGTGCTGGTGTGTTAAAGGGGAGGTGTCTGGCAGGATTCCTTGCAGGGCAGGGCCATAGAAACATGCCTATTGCAATGGGCATGGCACAGCCTCTGTTAGCTGATCTTTGAAGATGGTCTTCTACACCAGTACTCAGGAGCTGAGGGAGTTGTGAGAGAGGGGGATGGAAAAGATGGAAGTCTTTCCCTTTTGGTGTGTTGTTGCCAGGAAGTCCAGCAGGAGCAGGAAGAATGTGTTGCTGTTCTGCGTAAGCTTCTCTTGTGGCCTTGGTTTTGGGTCTTTTTCTTTTGCTCCTGTCTTCTGTGTGATAGCTTCTCTCTTTGCTGAAGGCAGTGGCAGTAGGTAATCTGGTTGGGCAGAAGTGCTGTCATGGGTTCTACCTTGGTTGCTGTTGGGAGTGAGGAGGCACAGCGGCCTCTCTGAGTAAGGCTGGGCCCTTGGAACTGATGGAGTTGCCAAGACGCTCTCCTTGATATTGGAAAAGTCGTGGTAGTCAGGGGAAGTCCCAGGTGAGGGGAAAAAGGAAAACCCACTGTCCCCATCTTTGAAAGGGGTAGAAAGGAGGACCCTGGGAATTACCAACATGTCAGCCTCCCCTCTGTGCCTGGGAAGGCCATGGAAAAGATCCTTCTAGAAGTGGGAGCTGTTGAAGTGTGAATGGGTTCTACTGACCACCCCTTGGCTCTCCAACTTCCGGATCATCTTATGGATAGTGAACACAGCGTCTCGATTCGTCCGATACTGTCGTCTGTGTACAGTTGTCGTGGCTATTGGCACAATGGAGGGCAGCAATGCTGGTCAGATGTAGAAGATGGATTTCGAAGGCAAATGCATGAAGAAAAAGGAGTCTCTTATTACCACTCCAAAAAAGCCTGGACTTACCTTTCCAGTTTCTTGGCAAGGCATCTTTTGGTTGTCACTTCCTCCAGATACAGCTCCTTGTACATTTCCATTTGTCCCTGTGTTGCTTCTTTCCTAGAAGCACTCTCTTGTTCGGTTTTTTTGACCCTGTCCAATTCACTTTCCAGATATCTAATTCTTTCTTCCAACTGGATTCTCATGGAATCACAATGACTGCCTGCAATTTGTCCTAATGTGTCCTGGTGGGCTGCCTGTGCCTGAAGGAGACAGTGC